AAGGAGGAGGAGCTTGGTTACTTGCAGAAACAGTCCACAAAGGTCTTCCAATCCAATAAGTCACGTATTTGTAAACGTTAATTTCATGAAACGATACTTCACGAGGACTATCGTTATAGCGTGGAACTACTTGTTCAAGTCCATACTGCCGCATCAGTCAAGAAGGACAATAAAAAGTCAGTTTTGAGATACTAGGAACACAGCAATATGGAGTATCATTCGTACCAACCATCCTAGTAAGCCTCCACCAAGGCACCACCCAACAAATGGAAAATTCTCTCTTTGCAAAGAAATTTTTCCAGTCTTCATACGACATGTTCACAGAGTAATTCTTCTTTCTGCGGACTAGATCGTCAGGGCCATATTTTTCAACATCGTCGGGGGCTTCATATAGTTCTAAACGCTCCATCAACCAAATCTGCAAAAAAAAAAATGCAGATTCCCGTGGCACGGAAGACTTCACCGTGTCACGGCAGAGAGCCACCGTGACACGGTGTCTGTTTTGTGTCACGGGGGCTACTCGGAGCGTATTTTTACCTGCAGCAATACCAGAGAGCCCTTCCTGATGGCTTTCCAGTCAGCTTTTGCTTCGTCAAGGCCACAAAATGTTTCTCCAAGGCACGTAGGCATAGGAGATCTCCTAGATTCAACATGTTCAAGCACAGATGCTAGACAAGCATGTCCTACCCTACCGTTTGCAAATAAAATCTTTCTAACATGCAAAAAAATATGCCCTTCTACGATATACATGATAAGACTCAGAAATAGGGCGATTAAAATATAAATTTGCAAGTTTTTCTAAGTCTACCTCATTACCACACACAATTCTATTTAAATCTGGATCTGTTAGATTCAGATGGCGTTCAAAATCTTGGTAATAATATTCACGTAGGGTAGGCATGGCAATAAGATTTCTAGCAGGAAATCCGAAGATTGCACCGAATTCCTCCGGCAGGGGACATATTTCATCGTAATCAAATTTAAAACAATGTGTTTCTGGACTCCAATAATCTAATGTTGCCCTAAGAAAATCATGTTCAATCGCTACATGCCTCAGGGCTAGTAAACCCCTGACATGAAATAATTCTAACTCTCTTTTGTCAGCATTGGTCAAAGAATAAGACCAGTCGCGCAATGTATTATCAAAATTCTGAGACATTATTATTGAAATATAAAATTCTAATTATTTCGTAATTATACATATCACGAATATACTGGTCCTATTTTATAGCAAAAGCACTCGGAACTACTCAGAAATTATCTTTTCGTACGTGTAAACCACACCGTTGTAGAATACGCCCACCGTGTCACGGGATTTTTTGCCGCGACACGGTAGATTTTTTCGTGACACGGTGTACAGTGCCGTGTCGCGGCACCCACGCGTTTTTTTTTTATCTTTTCCTGTATCTATCCGGATTTTTTTTAGTTTTTTTCTTCACCGTTTACTTTTCTGTTTTTCGAGAGTTTCATTCCCAATAAAACTCTCAACTTTTTTTTATCATTTTATTTTTATTTATTTATTTAATTATTTATTTATTATCTTTTTTAGTATTTTATTCATTTTATTCCTATTTTTTCTTTATATACTTATTTATTATTCTTGTCTTTTTTATTTCTTTTTCTTTTGGGGAAGGTCGGTACCCTCCACTTACTCCACTTACGTTTTTTTTTTGCGTCATTAATACATACACAATCACACACAATGAGTCTCAAGCACACACTAATAAATACATAAACTGTGAATAATATACAAAATGAGTTATAATAAATAAGCAGTGTCAAGTGTCATCACAGTGTGTACAAATAAAGACCCTCGGTCAAAAATCAGTATAATCTCCAGCATGTGAATACGGGAACGGTGAGCCAAAGAGTCCCGTCATCATCCGAGTACGGGGAGTAGTGTCCCTACTATTCCCTGTGACTCCAGCAGCATTCAAACTCAAAGCAGGACCCGTCCAACTGGCAAACGGTGTAGACTGACTCAAAGACACGGGAATCGTCGGTGGAGGCATCGTCCCATACATTGGAACTGAGAACAAGCCCGACCTGGTGGAGGAATCCCATACGATGGAGCTGAAAATAAACCAGGATCCACGGGAGTCAAAACAGGCCTAAACTCAGGCTGAGAAGGCTATGAAAACGACTATCGCTGCCTCTGACCCTGACCCTGAAAGTGCTGGGAAGACTGAGGCTGCTGCCACTGAGCCTCCTGAAATGGCTGAGTAATCTGAGGCTCCCGCTTAGAATGAGAATGCCAATGAACCTCAGGAGATCGTCTACCACGACTAAGCTCCCCCTCGTCCGAGCCTTTATGCCTCGAGCGCGAGCGGGACCTCCGTTGCTCCTGAAAGATACAAAATCAAAAGGCGTCAACAATGCAAAATAAAACAAATGGTAGAAGTGGAAAAAATGAGCATACCTCAAGAACATCGCTAGAACTGCTCCGACAACTCACACCACGCCGAAGCTTGATGATGCAGTGCTTCAGAGCGTCAACCAGCTTCATGAGTCCCATCATCTCCGGGCGGTTAGGCTCAGAACAAAACAAAGAAAAATCAGTAACAAGCGGTGTTAAAAGGATGAATAATGCATCAAAAACTTATCGGCTCAAAAACCTCGGGCAGAGACTCCTGCGCATATCTGAAACCCTCTGGCGCGTCAGCAATATGGTCCTCGGTAATACCAATCGGCCCTAGGTAGCGGACAAATTGAGGCGGAATCTCAATCCTCCTCACAGGGCGAACAATCGTCTGAAAATACGATCGAATAATCAAGTTATTCGACTATTTAAACAGAGACTAGCGGCAAAAACCTCAAAAGAAATCATACCTCAAGAAGGTGGGGTGGAGGAGCCAAAGAGGGAAGTAAGTTCTGCGCATAATCACCCTCCATGTGCACAAGCTCCTGCCAAGGAAAAGTCTAGCGCTCTCCCCTGTTTATCAACTCCCTAAGCAAGCGCGAGTCCAGCATCGACTCCGGTGGAGATAAGGGCACCACAAAGTGATCACCACTGTGCTGACGAATGACACGCTCCTCCAAATACCAGACAAAGCGTCTGGTACCAACCAAAATAGTGCGGTGCGCTGAAAGATGCAAGGCCTCGGGAAGATTAGTCATCCCAGCCCAAGGACGATACTGGACATCAATGACAACCTGAAAACCATACAAAGATGGCATGAGACATCGGAAATAACGTCAAAGAGAAAATAACAGGCAACAAAACTAATTTTTACGCCAACAGAAGAGGTGCCTCGGCGTAGCAGCCCGCGTAGCGCAGAGACTGACTCCACCCGTGACTCTCCTCGGTCACGCCAGCTAGCCCCGACAGGGAAGTCATGAATCGCTCCACGACGCCGTCGAGGAGCCAATCTTGGGAATTACTCGTAGAACCATAGTTGCAGTGAAAAGTAATCTTTGAGCATATGAGTCGAACAAATTAAAATAAAACAAGAAAAGGAAAGGATCGTCACCTCTACAACTCTCCATAGACCGTAGACAGTGACGGGAGACTCGTTGTTCAGCTGCCTACAGCCATGACGTAACGGCAAGAGAAGGTCGGCGTATCCGAGGCTGCCCAGCTAAAGGATCCTATCTCACTGATCCTGACTAAAGAAGGGAGGTAGCAAAGGAGTGCACGTGAACTCCTATCAGGAGAAAGAGTCATGGAAATAAGAATCAGAATGAAGATTCGCACTCGCTGCTCAGCCGATGTCTCCTCCATGTCAAAACCACGAGCTAGAACCAAAGCCAGCTCCGATCGCCCGCTCCTAGGACCACCTCGAGACACTGGCCGGGTCTTGATATGTTGAACGATCGGACCTAACAAATCGGCTGCCTCAGCCGCTCCCCAAGAAAGATCAGACATCTATGCTACGGCCCGGTCAGTGAACCGCAACCCGCTAATCATGCTAAAGTCAAGAGGGGTCACTGTCATCTCCCCCCAAGCAAAGTGAAAGGTGTTGGTAGTATCCTAAAAATACTCCAACAATGCGCGAACGACTGTCGCACCGCAACCCTGGGGGCTGCGAAACCTACGACCGCCGAATAAAAATCCATTAAACCAGCCGATTCCCATAAGGCGTTCGTAGCAGGATCCCTCGTAATAATCTGGTGAAGTCGAGGAATCAAATCTCCGGCTCCAGAACCGTGGTGGCGAAGCGTGCCGTCAACTATGCCGGCAAGTGGGCGATGAGAAATGTGGTTCTCACGACAGAAAACCAACTGGTCTGGAGTCCACAGAGGTGGAACCCACCTACCTCTACCCGTAGAGGCCCGAGGCTCAGACTCTAAGACGTCGTCGTCCATACCCTCGGGAATCGTGGGAGTGTCCTAAGACATTTATAAAAATAAATGGTCGCCGGCCACTGGAAGTGGGTGGCTGGGGAAAAGGGAGGGTTAGCGGTTTTAGGGCGTCTCATTGTCGAGTCAACCCCTGAAAACCAAGTCAATGGGTATTTTCCGGGAAAAGGTGTGTGATTGCAAAAAAATTTACGATTAAGGTGTGTTTTTGCGAAATTTTTTTTATAAGGTGGTTTCTTGCAATTAAAGTGTTATAAAAGGTGGTTTAATGTAAAATTTCCAAGATAATATTATATATGTTTTCAGTTTCAAACTTTTTTCTGTTTTATTATTATAAATTAGCTTCGACTATATTTTTTTGATAACTTTTTTTTTAACTAATATATAACCAAACAAATGTTGTTAGCTAATAGGTTATACGTACTATGAATAAATTCAATGTATGGAAAAAACAAACAAATAAGATTCGATCTTGGGACCTTCTTTGCTAATGGCCTGGGCCCACTACTAAAATTCGGGAATATTACGACTGTTTTATTGCGACTGTCGTAACGACCGTTTTATAGCCTGTCGTAATTTTCATTAATTGCGACCGTTTTTTTTATTATAATGGCCGTTATAACGGTCGTTACAATTATATGAATTTTTTTTTTTTTAAAATAATTACGACTGACAGTCGTAGAACCGGTCGTAACAGTTTTTTTAAAAAAATAAAACAAAATCGATTTTGCTTTTGTTAAACAAGGGGAAAGGGAAATAAGAACAGAGAAGAAGGGGGAAAGGGAACCACGAACAGCGACCGGCAATAAGGCTCCTGCTGCTCCGCTGCTGTTCCCACCGGCAACCTCACTCCGGCCGTCGACGCTACACAGGTATGTCGTTTTGATTTTGTTTTTTTTTTTTTTTAAATTTTATTTTGTGCGAAAACCTTAACTTAGGGTCGCAAATCAACACCACGCAGGCCCACCGTCGCCGGATTCCCCTCCTGCTCTTCCCTCCTTTGTATTCCGACGGCGGTACTCAGGTAAGTCGATGTTAATTTTTTTTTTTGAATTTCAGTTTATTTGAGCGAAAACCCTAAAATTTGGGTAAAAAACTTCTCCTTCGCAGGCCTACCGTCGCCGGTGTCCTTTTCTCTCTTAGCCTCCTCCGTTAGCTGTCCACCCTACTCCAGGTAATTCATGCAATTTGGTTACTTTTTTTTTTTTTTTTTTAATTTAGTTAATTTAGGCAAAAACCCTAAACTTGGTCACAAATCAACTCCTTCGCAGGCATCAAGTCGCCGGTTTCCTCTTCAATCCTTGCCTCCTCCGTTTTCAGTCCATTATACTCAGGTAAGTGGTTGAGTTTATTTTTTTTTTTTTTTTTTTGAAATTTAGTTAATTTCTGCCAAAACTCTGAATTTAGTAGATGGTTTTGTGCATTTTCACATGTAAAATTACATTGGCCATTTAAATTAGTTTTTAGCATTTAAATTAGTTTTTAGCATTTAAATTAGTTTTCTCCATTTAAAATTGGTGGATGGTTATCTGCATTTTCACATGTAAAACTCTAAAGTACACGAGGCTTATAGTGATAAACAAGTTTATGTTATCTCAAGTGACTTCCCCTAACCACATCTCTATACTTAAAGCCATAAATACAATAAGACAAGATGAAGTAAGTTCAATTTATTTAATTGATTTTCTGAGGCGTGGGTCAAATAGAAAATAACATATGGTAATAGAAATTAAATGTATGACATATACAAGTCTTCATATATGCATGCCAGATATAAATATCGTGTCTTACTAATCACCTCATATTACTAAATGAAAAAAACAGACGAATTTCATTTGATTATCAAGCTGAAAATTGACAACAGGTGTATAATATAGTTTCTCCTTTTCAAAGACAACAAACAGCAAAATACAACTTGCAATAACGATAAATCTTATACAACAGGTGTATAATATACACATGCCTAGTAACTCTAGATCGACTTAAATTAAAAATTAAACCATTTATTCTATTGTATAAAATACACTCATTGCACAAAAGATGGTGAAATTTAACTCTTGAACTTTTGATTAAAGCTATGTTCTCAGTCTTGACCTTTTGGTTGATTTTTTTTTAATTTCGTTATTTAATTTGAAATAGCTAATTGTGAGTCGTAAATTAACCCCCTTTGCAGCTCCATCGTCGCCAGATTCCGCTTCTGCCTGACTTTCCTCCTTTTTCTGTCTTTTTCCATTGCCCCCACTAGGTAAGTCGGCTGTAGTATTTTTTTCATTTTAAATTTTTTTATTTTTTCCCTGCCTAAAAGTGTAACACCACCATATACCAGGAACACCTTCGTCGCCGCCTCTGCTTTTCTGGTCAACTCCTCCGCTCAACTCCTCCGCTGTGTGTTTTTCTTCCCTTATTTATCTACTTCTTTTACTTGTGCAATATGATTCATATTTATGTTAGTTGTTTATGGAGTTGTGATCTCATGTGTTGGATAATTTTAGTTTGGTATTGATAGCTTGGTTCATTGTTGGATTTTTTACGCTTTATTATGCGTAGGCTAGAACTTGGATGTGTTTTGGTTGGAATAGAAATTTATTTTGCTTTATGTCCAATGTAGGACTATTGGATGGTGTGAACTCATGTGTTGGATAATTTTAGTTTTCGTTTTAAAAAATAATGATTCTTATTGAATTACAATGGCTTTATTAGAAATTATTTTGTTTTTTTCATGAAGGGTTACATGTGGTTGTATTTTCTAATATTTTTATATTTTTTTATTTTTGTTATCAAACTCCCATCTTTGTTAAGTATACAAATCATATTGCTTCTATTATTTTATTAATGTTACATCAATTTACTTTGAAATGGTATAAATATAATTTTTTAGTGTAAGTTATAAATAATTTAATCAATATTGTAAAATATAAATAATAAGTATCTTAGAAAAAATGTTGTAAAAATTATAATTATTTATCAAGTTAGAAGCATGTGACATAACATATGTTTAAATCTCTTAACAAAGAATGTGAAATCAACTTTCCTGTTCAAGTCATGAGAAGGACCTTTGGATATCATTTCGATTCTAATTGTATCGTATGCCATTATTGTAATGAATACAAGTTCAGTGTGAATGATTAATGTGATTTGTTTTTCATAGTGTTGTAGAATTTGTCACCATGAAAAGGAAATAGCGTTGGTGGATGTACGATAGATACGATGGCGGTAATGCTTGTAGACTTAGGCCAGAGTTTGTGGATGGTGTTGAACAACTCATACGGTTTTGTGAAGCTCATCCTGAGAGCCCGGGCATAGATGAAGTAAGATGCCCTTGTCTATTATGTAAGAATAGACGTCTTCATGATGCCAACACGGTAAAACTCCATTTGTACAAAAAGGGGTTTATACCTGATTACTATGATTGGGTTTCTCATGGTGAAGGGTTCCCTACATCAAGTGTAGAGCAACCAAATACTTACCGTGAAATGGTTCTCGATGCTCTTGGGAGTAATCATGAACCACCAGGTGACGATAGTACTAGTGGTTCAGACGAAGAGCCAAATGCTCAAGCAAAAGCATTTCAAGAGCTTTTAAAGGCTGTCGAGCAACCACTATACGAAGGTAGCTCCATGTCTATTTTAGAAATGGCATCTCGAATTGTATCTTTAAAGTCGGAATACAACTTGCCCCATAGGTGTGTTGATGGGTTTGCTTCATTACTGAACGAAGCGATTCCCGACAATAATAAGATGGGGAAAACATTCTATGATACAAAGAAGATTCTTAACGGACTTGAGCTTCCGTACAAGAAGATCCATGCATGCCCAAAGGGTTGTATGTTATTTTGGAAAGCTGATGCTGAGTTGGATAAGTATAGAGTGTGCGAAAGGGATAGATACAAGAGGAATTCAAAGGGGTCATTGGTTCCAATAAAAGAACTCATCTATTTTCCAATCACTCCAAGGCTACAACGGTTGTTTGCAACAAAGAACGTTGCGGAGGAAATGACTTGGCATTCCAAAAATCCAAGAGTCCAAGGCACAATGGCGCATCCTAGTGATAGTGAAGCTTGGAAGCACTTGGATAGATCCTTCCCTGATTTTGCATCTGAACCTAGAAATGTGAGACTTGGTATGTGTATCGATGGGTTTGCTCCTAATGGCAAGTTTGGGGGTCAGTATTCATGTTGGCCAGTCATTCTGACCCCTTATAACTTGCCTCCATCGATGTGCATGAAAAAACCATTTATGTTCCTTTCTTTGCTCGTTCCTGGTCCTAAAAATCCGAAGGGGAACTTGGATGTGTATATGAAACCGTTAATTGAAGAACTGAAAGAACTGTGGGATGTTGGTGCAACAACTTACGACATCTCGCAAAGAAAAAACTTCAATTTGCGTGCAGCAATCTTGTGGACTATAAGTGATTTACGGACTATGGTATGCTTTCTGGATGGGGCAACATCCGGTAAAAAAGCATGTCCATATTGCTTGGAAAAATCAAAAGCTTTTTAGCTTGATCATGGTGGTAAAATGTCTTGGTTTGATTGTCACCGACAATTTCTTCCTCTCGAACATCCTTTTCGAAACAAAAAAATTGCTTTTTGTAAGAACAAGGTTGAAAAGGGGACACCACCTCACATAATGTCCGACGATGAGCTATGGCAACAAGTTCAACACTTTTCTAAGGCAACAGATGGACCAGAAGCACTTGCAAGCTTGAAAAAGAAGAAACTAGGTTGGTTTAAGCAAAGCGTTCTTTGGGAGCTACAGTACTGGAAGACTCTTCTCCTCCGCCACAACCTCGATGTGATGCATATTGAAAAGAATTTCTTTGACCAACTAATTCACACAGTGATGGATGTGAAAAAACATACTTCAGACACAGTAGCATCTAGAAATGACATTGCCAAATATTGCAAACGACCACAACTACATGTGACGGAGGATGCGAGAGGCAAAGACACTTTGCCGAAAGCCCCATTCTCACTCGACAAGGCTCAAAAGAAAGTGTTATGCGAGTGGGTAAGGAACTTGAAATTTCCCGATGGTTATGCTTCTAATTTGAGTAGATGTGTAGATTTACAATCATGTAAGCTTCATGGTTTAAAGAGCCACGACTGTCATGTCTTCATGGAGAGATTGTTGCCAGTTGCTTTGAAGGAATTGCTCCCGGTCCATGTTTGGAAAGCTATTACTGAGATTAGTCTTTTCTTCCGCGATCTTTGTTGTTCCACCATTAAATTGAGTGATATGGAAATATTGGAACATAACATTGCAAAAATTCTTTGTAAGCTCGAGAAGATATTTCCACCAGCGTTCTTCAACTCTATGGAACACTTACCAGTTCACTTGCCTTATGAAGCTAGGTTATGTGGTCCTGTCCAATATCGTTGGATGTATCCGTTTGAGAGGTTTAAGCTCCTACAAACTCATATCTGCCATTTTCGTTTATACACCTATAGTTGTTTGCATAACATATAACTTATTCAATATTTTTTATTATAGGTTCCTTAATCATTTGAAACGTAAAATTGGCAATAAGGCTCGTGTGGAAGGTTCAATATGCAATGCTTATCTAATGGAAGAGATAGGGTACTTTTGCTCTAACTACTTCCAACAAGGAGTGGATACCAAAACACGGGACTTAGGTCGAAATGTTCATGAGGATGTTGAAAGCACTTTGGATGATAGTGTTCCAGAACTGTTTAGGGTTGATCATGGACATGCTTCTACTGGTGGAGTTTGTCGTTATTTGGATGAAAAAGAACTACAACGTGCTCATTTATATGTTTTGGGAAATAGCGGTATTCTAGAACCATATGAGAGGTATTAAATTTGTAAATTATCACAGTCACTAAGATTTCATTGAATTTTACATCGTATCCAATATCGACCACCCTCATTAATAATCTTTCTCTGGTTATATGGAAGGGGGTTTGAGGACCACATTGTTCAAATGCAACCCACTATTCGCAAAGAAGATGTGTGGATTAAACATGAAGCTGAATTCCTCGAGTGGTTTAGGTTGAAAGTGAGTATGATACGCATTTGACATCTAACATGTTTTCTTACTTTGTTTCTATAACTTCACGACTAATATCAATTCATTAATATAATTATGCCATATGAGCAGGTGATTCAAGAAAAGCCAAATGATGAAATATTGTTTGCTTTGGTTATGGGCCCATCTAAGCGAGTGCGTACTTGGAGCCAATTCTATGTGAATGGATACAAATTCCAAACTTATGGCCATGGAAAACATAAGTCAACAATGAATTATGGAGTAAGCATATCCAATGAAGATGGTGGTGATTATTTTGGTTTTCTAGAGGATATCATCGAGTTGGAGTTCACTGGTGCCCTACGGACTTATAAGACTGTTCTTTTCAAGTGCAATTGGATGGATTCCACTAGGGGTATGAACATTGATCAATACAAGCTTGTAGAAGTCAATCATACCAAAAAATACCCCAAGTACGATCCATTTGTGCTTTCTTACCAAGAAAACCAAGTCTACTATGCACCTTACCCAAGTCTGAAAAGAGATAAGGCTCAATGGTGGGATGTGTTCAAGACAAAGGCGAGGTCTGTTGTTGATGCACCAGTTGACGAAGACTTTCTACAAGAAACCAGTGCTGACATTCCAACTCTTTGTGCTCCGGATGACATTCCAGACTATGAAGGTGATGAAGAAGGTTTTGGAGATTCGGATACTGAAAATGAAGTGTTGCCCGATGCCCCTCCAGACGAGTCCAGTTTCGAATCTACTGATAGTGAGGACGAGGATGAGGATGACGGATTTTGGGATGACGATACCGATGATGATCTTAGTGCTGATGGGGAGGACGATTCAACTGAGATTTAGGATATTGATTGTAACCTTGTTTTGACTTTTTAATTATGTAATCTTAATGGATTTCAATTTATTTTAAAAGACCATCCTAGTTTCAATGTGATATACTTGTGTAAATATGTTATTATTTATATTTTGCAAAGCCAAGGTTATGTGTGATAGTACCTTATAGATCGTGATATAACATGGCTATATGATTTTTACCGATGTTCATAATGTTTTTCTTATTGTAGGTTGTCATGGCCGGTGGTGGTCGTCGGAAGCTGAGACATGCCACCCCGAGAGAATTGTTTCCGTCGACAAGCCATGCAGATACGGAAACTTCTCAGGAAGTTACCCCATCCCCTGAGCCAGGTGTAGGCGGTTCTGGGACATCTACTCAGGTTCCTGAGACGCAAGACGGTAACTCTCCCATGGGTGAGATTCCTACCCCCGTTGCGAGAAGGACTTTGCACCCGACGGGGTTATGGTAAGTTACTCATGGTTATCTTAATTTGCATTCCAACTTGAACAATCTTGGTTAGATTTGTATGTAATGACTTCATTTGTTTGCTTATTGGTACAAAGGTTCGATGATAACACCGTGAGCACCTCCATTACAAATATTTTTCAAGCAAATTAGCGCGAACCATGGCTTAACTATGAAATGGTTGACAAGGATACTAAGACCCACTGGTGGAACTCGTTTACGGTATTATAAAACCCCCAAGTTTAGTTTACTCATCTAACTTTGTTGTTTTTTGGTTACTTATTAGAATAAATTATTATACATTTTATTTTTCTTGTTTGCAGAAACAATACCTTTGGAATGCTGATCTTGATGCCCTCGTGAAGGAGTATGAAAAGAAGGCACGTAAGAGGCTGAAAGAGATTGCATACAATGTTTCGGTCAGAAACAAGGCAGTTCCAGTATGGATGGGAGAGGCTATGTTTGAGCGAATTATGGCGAAAAGAAAGGATCCGGTATTTCTGGAGAGGTCAGAAAAAGCGAAGAAGAACAGGAGGGGAGGCTTCCTGTCTAATCCAATTGAGCCGTCACACTTCCAAGGTTCTATCTTTACATCAAAGCATGCAAAGAAAATGGTAATACTTAATGGTATATAATGATACTGATATGTTTTAGTAGTTACATACACTAAGCATTTATGGAGTTATTTGATTTGTGCAGGCTCAGAAAGGTGGAGTGCTTCCAACTGCTCCGGAGGTGTTCCTAAAGACACATTTCAAGGAAGTTCCAAGAAAAGGAAAAGTTGCGGCTAACAAGAGGGCACAACAAATCTCGGTAACACATCTAACTTTGGAAACTAATGAAATTATTTTTTAAGGAAGCATGCAAAACATAGGTCATTTATGCCATTTTAGCCTAGTCATGAACCTATAGCCATGAATATGCATGAAAATGTGTAAGTTTTTGCAATTTGAACCCATAAACATGTTTAATATGCTAAATATGAGTTGTTTGATTGATAAAATCTTGGAATATAGCAAAAACAAAGAAAATGGGTAAGTTAGAAGGTCATTTAAGCCATTTTATCCTACTCATGAACCTATAGCCTTGAATATGCATGAAAATGTGTAAGTTTTTGCAATTTGAACCTATAAACATGTTACTATGTTAAATATGAGTTGTTTGATTGATAAAATCTTATAATATAGCAAAAACAAAGAAAATGGGTAAGTTAAAAGGTCATTTAAGCCATTTTAGCCTAGTCATGAACCTATAACCTTGAATATGCATGAAAATGTGTAAGTTTTTGCAATTTGAACCTATAAACATGTTTACTATGCTAAATATGAGTTGTTTGATTGATAAAATCTTAGAATATAGCAAAAACAAAGAAAATGGGTAAGTTAGAAGGTCATTTATGCCATTTTAGCCTAGTCATGAACCTGTAGCCTTGAATATGCATGAAAATGTGTAAGTTTTTGCAATTTGAACCTATAAACATTTTTACTATGCTAAGTATGAGTTGTTTGATTGATAAAATCTTAGAATATAGCAAAAACAAAGAAAATGGGTAAGTTAGAAGGTCATTTATGCCATTTTAGCCTAGTCATGAACCTATAGCCATGAATATGCATGAAAATGTGTAAGCTTTTGCAATTTGAACCTATAAACATGTTTAATATGCATAATTTGTTTTGTTTGATTTCAGGAAGCCTACCAAAAGAAGCTTGACGAGTCTTCCACTCAAGAAGGGTCACAACCGGACCCTAACCAGCTATACTGGGAGGTCGTTGGTGGTAGGAAAAAGGGTGTAGTGAAGGGCCTAGGTGCAAGTGCTAGTTTGTTTTACACCCCCTCTTCCGAGAAAGGCTCGCAATCGTACAATCCTTCTATAGCTTCACAGTTGGAGGAACGTGTGCAAGCCGAAGTTGCCGAGCGAATAGAGGAGGCAAAAGTGCAAATGCAGGCACAAATGGAGGCACAGTTTGCAACGCAATTGCAGGAGGCATTGAAGGAGCGGGAGGAGGCAGCAATTGAGAGTAAGCGAATGATGGAGACAATGTTGCAGAACTTGTACACTAACTGTTCAGGTGGTCCTCCATTTCAGTTTCATAGGGAAGATGACCCGGACATGAGTGGTGGTGGGCTTGGTCACCAGACTCCGGTGTCGTAGTTTTTGTTCATAAAGCTCTTACATTAATATTGTTGATATAGGCCTTAGTATTTTTTTGGGGGAATATAGGCCTTAGGTTTTTTTTTTTGGGAATAGGCCTTAGGTTTTTTTTTTTTTTTTGGGGGGGGGATATAGGCCATTTCGTTATTTTTTGGGGAATATAGGCCTGAAATTGGTATTATATTGTTACATGTTGGCCTTATCTATTTTTGGAAGGAACATAGGCCATTACTTATTCATATAGACCTAACTTAGTTTTAAGCTTATAAAACTATTACTAACTAATTATTATTACTATTAACTTGAACATTATTATTGTATATATTGTTCGAAGTTGGACTTTTTAATTGTTAATATTATTATCTATATGGATTATGCATTTTATATTAATTTTGATATTTGAATCACATGATAACAGGTTATAGGTTCAAGTTAGGATGACATCGTTAATGCAAATTGTAATTATTTGTAAATTGCGTTATAATAATAAATTGCCCTGTTGCAATTGTATGAGGAATTGCGACCGTTTATCTAACCTGTCGCAGATCCCATGTTTTTTGCGACCATTAGAGCCTGTCGCAGATCACATGAATTTGCGACCGTCACTGGCGGTCGTAATTTACTGAAAATTGCAACCGCCAGTGACGGTCGCAGATCCCATATTTTTGCGACCGCCAGGCCTTGTCGCAGATCACTAGAATTTGCGACCGTCTCAGGCGGTCGTAATTCATTGGAAATTGCGATCGTCACTGCCTGTCGCAGATCCCCGAGTTTTGCGACAGTCATAGGCGGTCGTAATTTCCAACAATTGCGACCGCTTTGCCTGTCGTAAATATGAAATTACGTCAGTTAAAAAAACGGTTGTTGAAAATATGAAAAACGATCGCAATTTGATCTGCGACCGCCAAGTGGCCGCAATTTTTTTTTTGCGACCATTAAAATTACGACCGTGCAGTTGCGACCGGTGACGGTCGCAAATGTGAATAGCGACTGTTTTCCTCAAAAATTGCGACCGATTCGGACGGTCGCAATTCGCTGGTTTTTTTGTAGTGGTCGTGTCATGACCACTCCTACCACGAGATATAGATTACAAGGCATCATTTTTATGCAAATTCATTGTTTATAATAATTGTTTAAGGGGGTCAGCTTTTAACATTAAAGAAACTTGTAGTTGGGCCACGGGGGCCAAGCCTCCACCAGCCCCCCCGGCTCCGCCCCTGGCTACATATAACATTACCCATAAATTAATTTCATAATAAATCTATGAAAAATGTTATACACAGCCCTTAAGCATTAAATTTTTTCTCTCTTCTTTCCTTCTCTCAAAAAAAAAAAAAAAAACATTAAATTTACACTTGAAAATCGTAAAAAGTTAAGAAATCATAAAAATATAAATACTGATTTACGCGTGTTTTTGTTGTAAAATTCCTAAATTTATACAATTTTCAAGAGTGTATTTAATGCTTATATATAGCCCTTGGGGCTATGATGGGCGTTAGAACGATCGTACATTCCACACTCAATCAAACACATTTATTAACAAACACCTTACAAACCAAGCATAATGACAAGTAAGAGTTCGGTCCACAAGGAACGGGATATGATTGCCAAAGATCTTTACACTTAAGCTAATTCGAAGTCAATTGGTGAATTGGGGTTCGTCAAGAAGACAAACAAACTATGGTTCTAAATCAATGAATTAAAGATACTAGGGAATGAGATCCACTCAACCAAGGCAAATAGGCAAACGGGGAGTAAAATAGACAAGATATAGCAAGGACTATATGTAAAATCAACCTCATGCAATTAGAAAACAACTCACACTACTAAACTTAGATTCCTCATTAGTTTAGCAATAGATGATACATAATCAAATTACAATAAGTAATGACGTACTCAAATTACACTTCCATGTCAAATTAGGCATATCATACTATCAAGCTCCTTAGTCAAGGGTAGCTAAACCTATCATGAGGAACTAACAAGCAATCTCATATAATCAATTTAATTGCAATACAAACATCAATGCTTCTCCCACATTTGCATAGTTAACCCAAAAGGTCGAGCTTCACCCAACCCCTAGCAAGAAGACTACTCACAACTCATGTTTATCAACATGCAATCAAGAATTAGGGTTCCAAATACTTCAATAATTGGGGAAAAGTGGTTAACAATTGAAATAACTATCATCCAATAACAAATTACCAAGAACTAAGAAGATTTAAATAACATGCAAATACCAAATAAAATCTGAAATTAAGAGGAAAAAGGTTGGAGAAATTACTAATTGAAGCTTCAAATGTTGAATACAAATTGCCAAACTTTGAGAATAATTCTTGAATTTCACTAATACAATGATTTGATTTGATGAAAACTAAGCTAAATTAATCCTAAGGAATGTTTCAAACTAAGAGAGGTTTCTGAAAACTAGGCTATTGTACCCCCTCTCTATAAGCTAAAGGGGAAGTATTTATACTCCCCGAAACACATAGGGAAATCCGTC